GCTGGGGCCTGTAGGAAAATACAAGGAACCATTATTGCTACACCTTTGTGTCTCACCCGAGGACTTGGCCTGCATTGTTACACTCAACAACCCATTTTAATGATGAAGAAACTGAGGCTCACGTCACTCTGAGAGTGGTAGAGATTCAAACTACTGGTATTCAGAAGCTGAAGATCAGGTCCCAGAACCTGCATGAAACCATAGTGTCATAGGAAGGGACTATTTATTCAGTTGGGTCATCAAGTGAAACATATAGAGAAGTATGCTTTTGTGATGGTGTGTAAGAGACATGTCCCTGCCTGGGGGTCTTCTAGGGACCATGGCAGTTTGGCACCTTGGAACAGAGTTGATACTGTGGTCTTGAGCTCCTTTTTCCTGTCTGCATTTTATCCCAGTCAGGAGACCTTTCCTGGGGAACAAGCAGCCGTGAGCACCCTCCCTACTGGCTCTTTCCTGCGTGTGGCTTGGGCTGCTGTCCCCAAGGGCAGTCTTGGGTCAATTTAGTTGACTCGGCAGTGAACAACTCTGAGGTCCATCTTTTATCTCTGTGATCACTCACTTCCTGGGAAAGGGATTCAGGTCACCGAGAGAGCTGCTAGAGGGATTTGCTGTAGACTTTGTTGGGAATACAGGCAGCTGGGGCCAGGTTAGTGCTTACTCAGCATGGTGGTGACTGTTCCCACTTTACAGATAGAAACATGAGGCACCATTGCTAATGGATTTTTCCCGCGTCCACACTGGGTAGTGGCGAAGGCTGCTGTCTGCGCAGTTTTGTCTTGTTTGAGACTGTTCAGAAATAGTGTGGTCATCCCTGGTGGCAGAGAGGCCACGGGCTTGCCTACCTCTGGACTCGGGGATCTGAGGGGATAGCTCAGTTCTGTTTAAAGTAGGGTGCCTCCCCACCTAGCTGGCCAGGGCCTCTCACACAGGTAGGAAACCAGTCTGTGGAGCAGCTGAGCTGGTGGGCTGGCTCCACGTCTGAGGGGTTTGGTGCTCAGAAGCAGTGGTGCTCAGCTCGGGTCTAACACACTGTCTGAGTGTGATTCACTCACTAATTCTATTGAGAGGGGATCTGTAGGGTAGGCTTGAGGTGAACTTGTGGGGAGAGGAGTTGTAGCCCCAATGATGGCCATCAAGGTGCCCAGCTAAGCTTTTTATGCTGGTGGGGAGACCCTATCTTTTTTCTGGCCTGTTCTAAGCTTCCATCCCCTCCTCTGCCTGCAGCTGGGCTTCTAGTTGTTTGCCCCTGCAGGGAGCTATGGAATTGCCCTGTGCCTCTCAGGTGTGAGCACCCTGGAATAACTAAGCTGGGCTCTCTGTGGTCTGGTGGGCCAGGCAGGGCTCTGGGGGAAGCAGCACCAGCGCCAGGGCTCACCTCCCATCCCTGGCCGCCTGCCATGCGTCCAGGCAAGGGCTGCCCCTGGCTTCCTTCTTTGCTTCTGAATTTGGTTTACAAAGCCTCTTAAAGTTGTACTTTTAGGGACTTTACACAATTTGTGTGTGGAGAGAAGTTGGGGTGTCAAGTGGGAAGATGGGCCACTGCCTGGATGGCCCGTGAGGGCACTGCAAAGATGGTGGTCTATAGGGCAAGGCACCAAGCAGCTTCCCCTTCATTAACCCTGTGCTGGCTGAGGGTCATCCTCTCTGATTCTTGGTGTTTGGTAGGATGGCGAGGCCAAGGCAGGGTTGAAGGGTTTTGGACTGAGACTGTATCAGGTTGGGGGTCATCAGATAGCCCTTGCAGTCAGACATAGACTGTGTCACAGTCATGGTGTGGTCTGATATTAGGGTTGGGGCCAAGGCTGAGGCTGGGTTCTGAGCTCGGATCAAGACCTGGCTCTCTCCACATGAGGTAGAGCTCTGGTGACTCCAACCCCCATGGCATTTGGGGGGCTTTTCCTACCTCTCCCTGTCTTTCTAAGGTGGCCTTGGCCACACTTTTTACCTGGGAGGTCTCATTTAATCCTCCCAGCAGTCCTACTGGGGAGCCTGACACACCCCATTTTACAGATGGGGAAGCTTGGAGACTGAAGCAGGCTTTAAGGGTCAGAGGAGGCTAAGACTGGTGAGTCCAGGAGGCAGGGGACAGCTGCTGGGATTGGGGAGTGAGTTCAGAGATGTTGACCAAGGAGGGGTGCTGAGAAGGGCAGATACTGTAGAGGTCACTAGGCAAGCAAGGAAGAGACTGAGTTGGTGCCTTAACCCAGATTTTGGGCTCCCAGGCCAGCGCTCTCTCCCTTGCCTTCCTGTCTCCTTTCTTCTGGCCTCCTAGGCTGCCCCTGCTCAGGCCCTCAGGGGACCCCACTCAGCACCTCCTAGGTTGGCTGCCTGCCCCTTTTTCCTCAGGGACCTGGCTGAGGAGGCTGGGGAGGGTCTGTCTAGGAGGAGTCTGGTGGCCCCTCCCTGGGCAGAGGGGTGGGAGGAGCCTGCAGCAGACAGAGCCCCTTTGTTTGTGCCACTGTACAAAGCAGCTGGTCTGGGATTTCTGGGCTTTTTTTTTTTTTTTTAACATTGGAAGAATAATTGCATTGTCTGGGGGACCTGGAGAATCCAAATCCCTCCACAAACTTGCCAGGCTGTCCAGAGATGGTCCCTGGACCAACCCCCCCAACTTCCCTGTGTCTCCTCCTCCTGTTAGAAGCCTGAGGGGGAGAGAGTCCTTCTCAGGAGCTACCTCAACTGCTGACCTCAGGAGCACTGGTTGTAGCAGTTGGACAGAGAAGTGCAATGTCCCCAAGGTCTCCTGGAGTAACTGTGGGCTGGTTGGAAAGGGAGGCCCATTTTGGAGTGTTCCAGTAGGCACCTCCTGGGATGCGGTGATGTGGTTGCCCGAGAGGCTTATTTTCCTAGAAGTAGGTCAGGAAATTTATCTGGAGGTGGCACTAAGATGAGGGTGGGGTGCAGGTGTACCAGGAAGTGTCCTGTGTTCAGAGATCCAGGGATGGGGAGGGGCTTTTTGGAGGGACATCTTTGAAGGGTGGGCACCCAGGAGACTGTCCCCTGTGGCACTGTTTTGTTGCAGTAGCCACTGTTGGGGTGAAGCTCTGACTGCCTGAGGCTGAGGTGGTGCCATTGCTGAAGAAGCAGGGCCTTCAAGCCTCCTGCCTATGACTCACCAGAGAAGGGGTCCCCAGTCCATTCTGGAGCCTGGCCGAACTCTAGAGAGCAGGCAGCAGGAGTTCTTGGGTCAAAGTCTGTGCCCTGGGGTCAGTTGGGGGTGTTGCTGTAGTCATTGGAAGGGACTCATAGTTCAGGGTGACTGCTACTTTGGGCAACAGTAAGGGTGTTGGCTTGGCTTGAGCAGCATCCCCGAAAGGTTGTGCCCAGAGATGGCCTGTCTGACAGAAGTTAGGCCAGCCAGGGCACGAGTGACCCCATTCACGATGCCTGTCGCTTCCCTCTTTCACCTGCACAGCACCACCTTGACTGGAGGGCTTCCTCTTGGTGGAGTTGGAGGTCTGTGTGTCTGTGTGTGTGGAGGGAGTGGGCATCTGGGAATGAGAGCCAAAGCCAGAAAGCAGCTGGATCCAGAGAGTGAGGGCTGACCTGCTCAGGCCTGCTCCACACCTGGTACGTAGTAGGTGTTCCATGAATGGATGAATTATGCCTCCCAGTCAGACTGAGAAGCCTGGCCATGCCTCCAGCCTGCTTTCTTTTCAGTTTGGCTTCTCTGCAGTCCAGTCAAGGTGGTGCTGTGCAGGTGACAGAGGGAAGCCACGGGCATCATGAATGGGGTCACACGTGCCCTGGCTGGCCTAACTTCTCAAGTCCCTGGGGCCTTGGCCTGTGTGGGGATCTCTGTGGCCTATGGTCTCTGCTGCATGGATCTCTACTGCCGGCGCTGGGCTGGAGGCCCCAGACTCCCACCACTTTTTGCCATGGAAGCTGGAGCAAGAAGACAAGTGTGTGCTGCCCTGCCCCTCCTCTCCCCTTCCTTGCCTGGCCGAGCCAGCACTTTTTTCTTCTCTCCTTTATCTGCGGGAAAAGTACAGGGTGTTCTGTTTCTCCTGCGCATACAGATCAAGGAGTGGATGTTATTTATTTCTTTATTTCCCCAAGGCGAGAAAAGGACAGGCAAGCATCCGGGACCATTTAAATCATTCTTCCTCCTCAATAAAGCAGTTTCTCATTAAACAAACAAACAAACAAACAACTCAAATGAGGAAAGATGATGCCAACCCACAGGAAACATGCAGTGCTACTCATTCCCGGCTGGTTGGAGTAGGATACGCAAAGGTTCCCTTGCCCAGAGGCTCACAAGGGGTGTCCCTGGATGTGTCCTCTTTTGCTGTTAGTTGGACCCCAGGGTGATCTGAAGGATCCTGGGGGCAGACTCATTTCTGCCCTCTGTGGGCTGTGTGGAGGGCTCCTCTACCTTATGGGGGTATAGGGGCTTGATGGGAAGGTTCTGGAACAGGCCTGTGGGAGTCAGGACAGAGAGGCTGGCTGTCCTGTTGGCTTGGTTGACCACTCCACACCCATTCAGCAGCTGACACTGCATGTGGTCTCTGGGTTCAGGGTCTCAGAGCTGGTATGGGAGCCAGGCGAGCCTTCTGCTGTCATCTAAAGACTCGTGCTGCCTCCATTTCCCTTGGTCCATTCCTCCACCTTTCCCAAGCAGTGGCGTTCCGAGTGCCTAGAGGCCTAGAGGACCTGACACAGTAGTTTCTTACCAGGGCCCTTTGAAAAAATGCTGACACTCTTGTGACAGCCACACGGGGCCACCTCACTTGACTGCTGCAACAGTGTAGCAAGGACAATCTGGCCTTGGTGGCCACAGCCCTGGGCGCAGTGGGAAGCTCAAGTAGCAGACAGCAAGCCTTCCTTCCCTTTTTCGGCCTTATCCAGTCCCCTGGTTTTCAGAGGCGGCGCCCTAGGGAGCCCAGCGTGTTCTGTCATCTGTGGGGCCCCCAGTTTCATGTCTGTTACGTCTTGAACTACGGAGCAGCTTTGTAAGATGCAGTCCCGTCTGTAAGGTTGCGCACACTGCAGCCACTCACGCCTCTGGATGAGAGATGCTGGAGGGGTGGGGGTGGGTCCTGGGGAGCTGTGGGGTGAGGCAGGGCGACCGGGCGCCACGTCGTCGCGGGGTGCCTGGCAGCGGTGGCGTCACGGCAGTTGGCACCGTGCCCTGCTAGCAGCACGCCGCGTGTTTACAAACCTGACGCAGCGTCCGCGCCGGCTGGCAGACATCCGGCGGCATCATCCCCGACCCAGCCCCGCGTGCGGCGGCCACATCCTCACCTCTAAATTTAGTCCCAGGAAGGAGAACCGGGGGAGTGAAAAGGGAGGATGGGAGTGAGGACTGCGTCAGCCCTGACCCCCACGGCTCTGGGATGCACTCGGAGGTGCGTGGGGAGGACCCTTGCGGTCTCATCTCCTGGGAAAGCGTGGGCGCAGCTTTTCTCGCGGGGGAGGCGGCAGCCCCTACTCCCGAAACTGGAGCCTGTCTGTGAGGGCTTCCGGGCCTCGGGCGCCACCTGCTGGCGGTCTGGGGGACACGTTCTGCCCGAGTCACACAACCCTGGGTCTTGGCATTTCAAAGGCGTTTCTATTCAGGCCCTGGAGTTGCAGTGGGTAGGTAGGTGAAAGGGGTGGTTGAAGGAGTAGGTGGGAGGTGCTGGGAGCAGCATGTTAGCCTGAGCGTGTTTTGGAGAAATGCCCTTTTTGTTAAACCTGTGATCAATCAAAGTTAGAGCACACCGTTGCAGAAACCTCGGTAGTCGGATCTTGGGATGTCAAAGGGAGTCCATGTGCCAGCCCGGGATCCATTGATGGTTGATTTAGAAGGCAGGAGCGAGTACCTTGGTATGGAGGTAGACATTCATGCATGCAGCGAACCACACGGATCTTAAAAGTACAAACTTCTATCTATGCTCTGTACCTACCACTGAGACCAAGGTACAACTTTCCTCCAGTGCAAAGTGCCCTCCTGACCCTTCTCAGTCCCTTCTGCTCTCACCTCGCCTCTCTTCTGACCTCTGTCATCACATCTTCCGTTTACCTGTTCTGGAACTTCGTGGAGATGAGGTACTCCTCGGTGGCTGGCTTCTTTGGCTCACTGTCTTGTCTTGAGGCCCATCTGTGTTGTTAGGAGTAGTTCAGTTCTGTTTATCGCTCAAGAATATTCCGTCATAGGATAATACTACATATAACACATTGTATTTTATTTGTTGTCATTGATGGACCTTTGGATTGATTCTGCATTTTTATTATTATGAATAAACTGCTATGGATCTTCTTTAGCATGCTTATTTGGACGTGTTTTGAGGTATAGACTTCTTTATGATACTGGGAACTGAACCCAAGGCCTTTGCCCTGAGTTACATCCTCAGTCCTTTTTCATTTTTTTGAGATAGCTCACTAAGTTGCCCAGGTTAGGCTCAAAGTTGTGATCCTCCTGCTTCAGCCTTCCAGGGTACTGGGATGACAGGTGTGTGCCACCATGCTCTGCTTTTTGGATGTATCCTTAGGAGTGAATTGCTGTATGCTAGGAAAGGTCATGCTCAGCTCTTAGGTGCTTGGTGACAGGTTTTTCCTGCCCTGGGGTAACTTCCTGATTACTTCCCTCTCGTTGAGTTTGCTCTCCTGCTAGATCCTGGGTACTATTAGTTCTGTAATTTCTGCTACTCAAATCTCAACAAAAGGAATTGGAATCCAAGTTGCTTAGTTTGAGGAAAAAGCAGGGAAAGGATTAGAGCTGAGTGCCCCCCCCACCCCCCAGGATGTCCCCAGACACCTCTTAATCATTCTGGGAATAAAGAGGCAGTGTCTTCCAGCCCTGAGACCAAATTCAGGCACTCCCCTTGGCCTCCTGGCATCAGCCCCCCTACTGTGGCGTCTCTGAGCAAGCTGGCTTAGTGTAACTGTCAATTTGATGTCTGGCTCTGGTGCCACGGGTCCTCATGGTCCACTGTTTCCTGGGATCCTCTCTGCTTTGTGGTGACTGAGGGGCTGGGTAGCTGGAGAAAACAACCTACCCGGAATAGCAGAGGCTTGACAGATAGCAGCCTCGTGGCACTTTCTGGGGGTAGAGTGGAACTTAGTCCTTCCCATCAGATTGCTGCCTGGTGGAGGCTGTGAAAGATCAAGATAAAGCTAGA